ACCCCTGCCATGATCAATATTCTGCAGTCGACACATCAATTTTGAACTCAAACCACTGTACAGCATGAACACAGCTGCAATCTGAGTTGTAGCGCCGTGTGGTCTGGCATGTTCACCGACGTTTCAGAGGTTCCTCCTGCGTCCTTCATTAGGGCGTTCCACCAGACTATTTATTTATTTATTTAGTGTTCTGTCTGACGACATGTCCATATGAACAGGATCCTTCCATCCTTTTCTCGGACTGGGACCTGTTCATATACGTTCTTGGCAGATGATCCAGAAGTGGTTTGCCATTGCCTTCTTCTGTGTGTGAATGGAGTAACTGTTGGGATGCCACGGAGGAAAACTCCGTGTTGCCTAGACCACGGCCTTGCCCAACACAAGTTATAAATTCGGGCACCGCCGGGAATCGAACCCGAGACCCCCAGGATTACAAGGCCAGCGTTCTAACCGCTAGACCACCGTGGCTTCCACCAGACTACACGGGGCAAATCCCAGAAGACATCTTCATACTCGCTGCAGTGAGAACCTAAAATTGTGAATGTACAACCAACGTTCGCGAAAAATATAGGCATAATTGTTACCACTGGATCTTGCATTAAAAGTAAAATTCCATCAAATACAAAATCTGAAGATGTATCCGATCAATATATATGAACAGGGAAATATGTCAGTAGAAACGTAAAATGAATTATCCTTTTCTATACTGCATTGTAAGGTGGCGTTTAAAGTGCAAGGCATGGCGGTACACAATTCGGCAGTGACGGGCATCCGAAAAGGGCTTGTGAGGAGAGGTCTCGTCGTAGAATCAGTATGTTATGTGTCATGCTGGGATTATTGTACGTAAACGACTTAAACGCCAGAAAATGAACACAAGATTTGTAATTCCGAATATCAGGAGCCATTTCCTTTGTATCACATGAAAAATTTTGTTAGGAGATTTCAATGCAAGGGTGGGTGGAGAACAACTGAAAATTAAGAGTTTACACGAACTAGTAATGATAATGGCATTACACAATAGTCCGAAAAGAAGAGAATGGATCTGAATAAGCTAACACATCCACACCGGATGTTACAGAAGATTATCAGGTCAAAATCTCGAAAGGGTTACCAGCTTTCGAAACTTGGATAATAATGTGTAGGCTACTTTTAACAGAGACTGGATAAGTATTAGCATATCAATATTTAAGCCAAACAGAGCGTAGTTAAAGCAACGGAGAACACGATTTGACAAAAATCCTATATAATTATATCAGATCAGAGGAGCATGATAAATTGGACTGACTGCAGAATAAAAACCAAATTACTGAAAGTATTCCGAAAAATGTATGACAAACTGTAGAACTTTTCTGGAACATAAAAGCAGCAGTGTTTGAAAGGCAAAGTTAACGAGCTTTAAACAATGATTAAGAACAAACATTTTAACTTATTCATGGGCATAATTTTTTTTAAGCATTGCTACCAGCCTGGAACTAAGTTAGCTGAAGATAAGAACGGTAACCTGCTTGCAGATACCCAAACTTAATAGGTAGAAGAAGAATTTTTGACAGCTGATGAATGCACGTGAAGTTAACGTCAGGCAAACCGAAGTACATACGGATGAGCCATTAGTACCTGTGCCTAGTTCCTCTGTGGCCGAAATTGCTACCGAAAATCTTAAAAAAGAAATTAATTACCTCGTACTGATAAAATTCCGGCAAACCTGATCCAAGCAGAATGCAATACAATTTGCCGCATTCTGAGATCTACAAACTTAATTTTTAAAACGAGCAGTTATGCCAAAGGAACAGTAGGAAATAAAAACTGTGGGCATGCCTATTTATAAGGTGGACGACAAACCTAAGAACGGTCGAGGAATCTGTTACTGTCATTACTACACACAAACAAAGTTTATCCAGCATTCTTCTCTCAGCGTTATCTTTATACGTAGACAAAAATTACTAGGTATTATCAGTGTGGCTTTCGACTTAATCGAGCAACGACTCATCATATATTCAGTATTTCTCATAAGAGAATAAATAAAAAGACAATGCAATGGAGCAGCGTATATCAACTACATACAGACTTAAATGAGCCCTATGATTCTACTAGAAGGTGCGTATAAAACATTCCCACTGAAATCTGTATCGTATGAAACTAGTTGGGAGTAATTAAACTGTAATTAATCAAAACCTATAGCAAGTTCTGTACTTGTAAACATGTCTCACTTCCTAGTCAGAATGGTCTAACAAAAGACTTATCGCTATTGATTTTTAATTTTGATTTACAACATGCAAACAGGAAGTTCTAAGAAAGTAAACATGGGTTGAGATCGAATGAAACACAACACTTCTATTATGTGCTAGTATGCAGCAGAGAAAAAACCAAGCATATGTTATCACGCTTCGAGACCAGACTGCAGGACAAAATCCACATAAAAAGTAACGAAAATGTAGCATTCACGAAGAATTTAAGGGCATGTTAAATTTTGGGAATGCGTTCAGACTTCCATTGTCTTCAAGTAAGCTATCTAAAAACGTAAAGGTCGAAATATACACAACTACAAATTCACTTGTCTGCCTCCACAGTACAGCACAACACAGAAAGATGCTAACAAACATCCATGTCAGGGGTGGGAGTCGAAACCACGCCCAAAACTAAAGAAATTCGATTTAATCCCCATC